GATCATTTATGATCTCATTTTAATTCTCACCTAAGAGGTAGATGGTATTATTATGCCAGAATTCTCTTTAATAATGGGATGATTCAGTGTGAGAGAGAAAGAAATTCATCTAAGGACACATAGTAAATCTCAGTGGGGCACTCATGCTCTTAACCACTGTGATATTTTGCAAATACCAATAGCCATTCGATCTTTACTTTCGGAATGTAGACAGAATTCCAGAACAAAAGCCTGTCTGTTATCTGAGAACTATTAATACAACAGAGCTTGGCTCCTAATGAGACTTAACACCATAAACAAAGCTGTCCCTCCATAAACAAGACTAGCATAACCAAATGAAATGGTGTTACCGTAAAGAGCTCATGGAAATTTGAGCAGTTTAACCTTTTGGAAAACCCCTAAAGGGACCCATCTGGTTTTGAAACGCAATGTTGCCTGGGCAGAATCTATATGGAAAATGTTTAGACCAAATACACGATGAAGTCTCAAGAAATTCTCGAGGTGCTTTCTTCTGGAAGAAAGAAGGCGGGTACGGGAGGAAGGTTGGTGGAAGTGAACACAGTAGGGGCAGGACTTGCTGAAAAAGAGAGAAACTCCCTCTAGTGGAGAATGGCGGGAAAACTTAATGGCAATGCCATTTGAAGTCGTTTCCCCTTTATATGAAATTCAAGAACAGACGAAACTAATCTTTGGTCACTGAAATTAGAAAATAGAGGTCTCTTGGGAAGGAGAGGGGTTATCTAAGAAACTGGAAAGGGGCACAAAGGAACTTTTTTGGAGCGATGGACATATTCTATGTCTTGTTTGGGTGGTAGTTATGTGCGGTATACAATTGTTGAAAATCATCAAATTGAAGTAAGAACTGTGAATGTTTATTATGTGCAAATTATACCTCAACCTCAAAAAATTACAAAGGGCTTTCATTAAATAAAGTTTGTGCCATAGCTTATTTAACCATTCCTCTAATATTGGACTTTAGTTTCTTCCATTTTTTTTCACAAGCATAAATTATGATACAATGAATATCCTTATGCATATATCAGGTTGATCCAAATGAAATTACCAGTCTTAAATATTTTGACCTATAAAAGTGACAAGTTCATATAGTCCAATCCTATAGATTTTTAAGATTCTGGATTTATTCCTTTAGGTTAAGTTTACAGAGGTGGTGACTTGAGCAAACTTTATGAACATAAAATTCTGTTGATACATATTGCTAAAATGCTTTACCTACCAGTTCTACAAATGTATAACTCCTACTAACCTGAAAATGTGTATTTGCATATACTTTATCATTCAGTTTAAAAGTTCTGATTTCCCATGTGTCCTTTGACCCATGGGTTATTTAGAAGGATGTTTTTAAATTTCCAAATATTTGATTTATTCCCCTGACATTTTATTTCTAACTTGGCCAGAGTATATCTGATTTCAGTCTTTTGAAATGTATTATTTGTTTTATGGTCTCAGTGTATGATCTATCTTAGTGAATTAAGAAACATTCTAAAACATAACAGGGAACTTAGTATTTTTAATTCTTTATCTTTCAAAAGTCACTTACATCACTTCCACAACCAGGTGCCCTCTCTTCTCTCTTACCAGCACTTTGTAGCTCTCTTATGGCTTGTGACACATTTCTTCTTCGGCATGTATTGTACACATATGGGTGTATAAGAAAACAACTCCTAGAGAATGAGGACTTTTTTTGTATCTCATTTTTCCTTGTATCTCCTAGCCTGGTGCCTCGTACATTTCATTCAGTCATTCAAGGAACACTACTGAGTTCCCACAATGGACAGTAACTGAGACAGGTGCAATAGGCATTCAAAAAGTTCACTGAACTGAACGCCACTAGTATCAGATATCCTTTTATACCAGTAGGTCTTATGTAACATTCAAGCCCCCACGTATTAAATCCCAGATTGAGACTTTCTCATTTTTATGTTGCACTAATCCGGAAACAAAATCTCTAAAAGTTTAGCTTTAAATATATTGACTATGTAAGCGCTGTCCCCTTGGTTCTATTAATAATTCCTTAAAATGCACCCCAGGGGCCACACTGGGGGACTTCGGACTGTAATAGTAAAACCTACAGCAGCCCGGTGGTGCATGCACTTTTCTTGGGATTCTTGAGGGCGTCAAGGTAGTTAATGTCTTTATAAGGACATAGTGTAATGAATATGCAAATCTTGAGGGCACCGAACTCATTCCAGTTCCAGGAAGGCCCGCAGCCATCTCTTGGTCCTCCAGATCTCTTACACGAGGAGGGCGGGGCCTACTGCGGGACGGGACTCCTCTCTTCGCGGACTCCGGATCCGCCTCCAGGAGCCCCGCCTCCAGGAGCCCCGCCTCCAGGAGCCCCGCCTCCAGGAGCCCCGCCTCCAGGAGCCCCCGCCTC